GGATATTTATTTTATTCTATGGGTTATTTGTGACACTATGATTATTAAATTTTTTTGCTCAAATTTTCCAGCTTTGACCATTGGAAGCTCCTTCAGGCAGGGCTTTTGTGTTTTGTAAACATGTCACCATCTACTTCCTTATTTTCTGGAACCACAAAACATTACAGGGTTATTTTTTATTTCCCTGCAACCCTGAGTTTAAAATATTTTTCAAGAAATTGTTTCCTTTTTTTTTTTTAAGTCAGGGTCTCACTGTGTCACCCAGGCTGGAGTACAGTAGCATGATCATGGCTCACCATAGCCCTGACCTCAGTCCCTGAGTAGCTTGGACTACAGACCTCAGCCACCTAATTTTTTTTTTTTTTTTGGTAGAGACAAGATCTCGCTATGTTGCTTAGGCTGATCTTGAACTCCTGGGCACAAACAATCTTCCTGCCTCAGCCTCCCAAAGTGCTGAAATTACAGGTATGAGCCACTGAGCCTGGTCATGAAATTCTGTTTCTTTTTACTGAAGAATGGTGTTCAGAAACCAAATTCTGGGCATTGAGTGTGCTTATTGCTCTAGGCCCATGCAGCAGACAGAGCGAGGAAATTGTATATATGTATATTATCCCATGTGTGCACACATACACATATGCCTCTTTATTCATATATCTGTCTATGTTTAAAAAAATGAGTTCATATTGATACCGCCAATTCCAGTTTAACACTATAAGGTATGGATTTTGTATCTAGGTTCTAACCCCATGCCCAAACCACTCTCTTATTAACAGTTCTAATTCTTAAGCTCTACTGAGTCAAATCTCTCCTATCTTTTCTACTTCAGAACTGTCTTGACGCTTCTTGGTCAAACATTTTTCCAGTAAAAAACATTTTTCCAGTAAAAAAAAAAAGTTAGAATTTTTATTGCTGTTACATTAAATCACTAGATAAGTTTGAGGAAAATTTAATTTATATTGTAAATCTAGTTAGTTCTTTCACACTTTTTTTTAAAAATTGGAGTTTCAATCTGTACTCATGCTGGAGTGCAGTGGCACAATCACAGCTACCTCAGCCTCAACCTGCTGGGCTCAGGTGATCCTTCCACCTCAGCCTTCCAAGTAGCTGGGACTACAGGTGGGTGCTACCACCCCCAGCTAATTTTTTTATTTATTGCAGAGATGAGGTCTCAAACCACCAGGCTGGTCTCAAACTCCTGGGCTCAGACAGTCCTCTCGCCTCAGCTCCCAAAGTGCTGGGATTACAAGTATGAGTCACCACACCCAACCTTCTTTTACACTATTGATACTTTTATAATTTCTACCATAAAGGTCATTATATCTTTTGTAAGGTTTATTTCTAGATAGGTAATATTTTTTATGTTATTATAAGTGATTTTTTAAAAATAGTTTCCTAACTGCTGCTGGTATATAGAAATGCAACTAATTTTTATAAACTGATTTTGAATTCATGAAATTTACTAAATTATTATTAACTCACTTGCTTTATTCACATTTGTGTTACAATAACAGACATGTTATATGTGAATAATGATAGTTTTGTTTCTTTTTTTCTTTTTTGAGAAAGTAGGATTTACTGAGAGGACAGAAAAGCTCCCAGAGCAGGAAGGGACCCAAGGGAGTTGCCCATTTTGTTTCTTACCTTACAGTTATTAAAAAAAAAAAAAAATCAGGATATACGATTACAAAATGTGAGCCAGGCAGCATAATATGCATAGAAAACACACACACACACACACACACACACACACACATACACACACATAAAGGAAAGAAAGCATAAAAATGTAAGCAGTGGCTTATTTTGAGTTAAAGAATTGTGGATAAATTTTTCATCTTTTACTGTATCTCTATACTTCCAGTTTTTCCAAGATGACTATCTATCACTTTCATTACCAGGAAAGAAACAAACCTAAAAGTAATAGTAAGTCTAAAACAAAATGTAAAAGTAAGGATGATCTATTAAAAATGCCTGGGATTACAGATGTGAGCCACTGAGCCAGAAATAAAACAATCAAGTAGCCACAGGGCCAGCTGGCTACATAGTTATAGACTAGTACATGATGTTATATCTAAGAAAACACCCTCTGAGATTCCTGGAACTTTGTTTTTCCATTAAGGGCATTATGAAATTGATCTGTCAAAGGTATACAATCTGACTTAATACTTGATCTTAGTTTAAAGGCCACAATTCATGTTTATTTTATTTGTTTTGAAATGAATCTAACTCTTAATTTTCTATAAGGTATATTTTTTCCTCTTTATGAATGATTAATAATCTTTTAGCTCATACTGCTAATTTCCCAAGGGTAAACTTATTAAATATAGACTAATTTGCCAGGAGCAGTGGCTCACACCTGTAATCCCAGTACTTTTGGAGGCTCAGGCAAGAGGATTGCCTGAGCCCAGGGGTTCAAGACCAGCCTGGGAAACTCAGTGAGACTTCGTCTCTACAATAAATCAAAAAATTAGCTGGGCATGGTGGCATATGCCTGTGGTTCCAGCTAGTTGGAAGCCTGCGGCAGAAGAATCACCTGAGCCCAGCAGGTTGAGGCTTTGGTGGCAGTGAGCATGGCACTGCACTCCCACATGGAGGAAAGGAGAGGAGAGGAGAGGAGGAAGGAAGGAAGGAGGAAAGGAACGGAAAGGAAAGGAAGGAGGAAGGAAGGAAGAAAGGAAGGAGGAAGGAAGGAAGACGAATTCTCACCTGGTACTACTCTCCCCATTTAGCAGGAGAAGAAACAGTCACCCCTGGAGACCAAGTAGGTCTTCTCTCTGTGCTTCTGCTGGCCTTCTCTATCCTATAGTATCTTGTCTCTATCATGACAGTTGTCAAAATTATCCATCTTCTCTGACAAGCTCCATGAAATTAAGACCTTTGTCCAATTCTTCTCTTAATCCCCAGGCCTAGCACACTACCTGATATAGCACCTGATACATAGTAGATGATCAATAAATATCAAATGTTGAGTGGGTGTTCTAGGCCATCCACTTTCAAAATGATCACAGTACCTGCCAAATTAAATGTGTGATTGCTTTTTAGAAACATCCCCAATAAGATGTGACTATGTTTGAGTGGACCTTGAAAACAATCTCTAAGTAAAGGCTCCTAATGAAAAATGCTTGAAAGCAAACTTACTTTTTATTCTACCTTTTCTGGCATAAAAAGTTTTTCATATGATAAAACATTTTTCCTTTTTTCTTTTCTACCATTTAGGGCTATTAGTAAGTTGCACGTAGTTGTTCATTGAGCTGATTCTGTATTAAAAAGGAAAGCTAGATAAACAAAATTAAGTCAACAAAATTCATGAAAGTCTCTTCATTTAGAGGAAGGTTTGCTGTTTTAATTAATTATCCCAGCAACAGTTTCATGTGCCTAAAACTATTTTATTTTGTTTATTTAGTTTTAATAGAGCTAGAGTATCACTCTTTTGTCCAGGCTAGAGTACAGTGGCATGATCATAGCTCACTGCTGCTTTCAACTCCTGGGCTCAAGCGATCCTCCTGCTTCAGTATCCCAAGTAGCTGGGACTACAGGTGCACACCACCATACCAGGCTAATTTTTAAAAAAATTTTTGTAGGCTAGGCACGGTGGCTCAAGCCTGTAATCCCAGCACTTTGGGAGGCCAAGGTGAGGGGAATTGCCTGAGCACCTGGGTTCAAAAACAGCCTGAACAACTTAGTGAGACCTCATCTGTACAATAAATCAAAAAAATTACCTGGGCATGGTAGCATGCACCTGTAGTTCTGGCTCCTTGGAAGGCTGAGGTGGAAAGATCGCCTGAACCCAGCAGGTCGACGCTGGGGTAGCCATGAGCGTGCCACTGCATTCCAGCCTGGGTGATGGAGTGAGACGCCAACACACACACACACACACAAATTTGTAGAGACAGGATCTTGCTATGTTGTCCAGGCTGGTCTCAAACTCCTGGCCTCAAGTAATCCACCTGCCTCAGCCTCCCAAAGCATGAACCACTGTGTCCAGTCCTAGAATTATGTTAGATGTCTGTAGGTGGAAGTAATTTTATTATAGACTAAGATAATGATACAGTAATAAAGTTTATAATTTCTAACATTTTGAGAATACAGTAATCATTAAGTTCATTTTATTAAATTGGTACATAAGTTCAACATTTATGGGGGTTTCCTATGCTATAGATACCAAACAAGACTGTCACTGTATAAAAATGAGTAAAACAGCCAGGCTCGGTGGCTCAGCCTGTAATCCCGCGCCTTTGGGAGGCTGAGGTGAGTGGATTGCCTGAGCCCGCGGGTTCGAGACCCGCCTGGGCAGCGAGACTTCATCTCTACAATAAATCAAAAAATCAGCCGGGTGTGGTAGCGCATGCCTGTAATTCCGGCTACTCGGAAGGCTGAGGCGGAAGGATCGCCGGAGCCCAGCAGGTGAGGCTGCGGTGGCCGGGAGCAGCCACTGCACTCCAGTCCGACTCAAAAAAAAAAAAGAGTAAAACACTACCTTCAAATGCTCACAATCTAATGTGATATCTTTGAACATCATGTTATATTTTCCTTTTTCTTATATATGTGTTTTGTTTTTTGTTAAATTTGGAATAAGAAAGGTTTATACAGTTACATTAATTTGTTCAAGAACTGTAGCCCAAAGCTTAATTATTTCCAAGTGGCCTGCAGTAGCTATTAGCAACAGCACTTTACATACAAATAGAATTGAACTAAACAGTGATTTCATTGTTCAACTGCTTTTACTTCATGTGTCAGAATGTTCCCTATTGTTATCTGTGTCAGGTATAGGAGGTGGAGTGGGATGTTACAAAGAAAAGGATATCTAATATTTCCACCTCAAAATTATGGTAGGGAATATGAAAAAGAAAAAATATCTGTCTGTAAATATTTTTATATGGTTTAACCAGTATCAGCTGACAGTGAACTTAAAGTTTATCTCACTTGTATACATACGTGTGTGTGTGTGTGTGTGTGTGTGTGTGTGTGTGAAAAGATTAATTCTTTTTTCTTTTTCACAGGTGTCCTTGTAGACTTGGGTCTGGAGGAAAACGGGACAGCTCATCAGAGAGCAGAGAAATATGTTGTTCGTCTAGACAATGAGATTCAAACCAAGTTTGAAGTTTTTATGAGGAGGGTGAAACAGAACCCATACACACTGTTTGTGCTAGTTCATGACAACTCCCACGTGGAACTAACGAGGTGATTGCTTCAGAGTGAGCAAATACAATCTTTCTTCTACAGCAGTAATTGTTACATAACAAACTATTTTAAAGGTGATGATTTGAAAGCTCAGGGACCCTGAAGTGTTTGGCACCTTCTTACTGGTAACTTTTTCTTACCCTTTTCTTGCTTCCTTGACTTTTCTTATCAACTTAATGTTGGTTTTATTTTAACTATTTTGTGGATGAATTTAGAAATTCTAACTAAAAATACTGTCCGAAGAGCATTGTAGAACTCAGCTGCTTCAGAAAAAGGGAGGCAGTGGGGATGTAAAGGGGATGGCTTCCCTCTCTCTACCTCCTCCCCAGTTCTTTTCATTTTTCCTTCACTTCTCTTCTTTCCTCTCCCAATATTTCTTCTCTCTTTCTTGCCTTTCTGTGTTCCCTCTGATCTTTAAAAGCAGTAGAGATGCCACTTTAATGACGTTTAAACACCAGAATATCATATTTCTTGGATGGACTTTTAGCAAAAGAGCAGTAAATGTGGAATAATGAAGCCACTTTGTTCTGAGATCAAATTATAGTAATTATCTGGTAGGGGGTATCTTTGCTTTTGTGGACTAAAAAGGCAAATGGTTTTTAAGGGGCAGGGCAAATAGTCCAGATTTACACATTGTGGTTTGTCCTCACCATGTAGAGGGGAGAGAAATTTCGGGTATCATCATGTATAGACTTTCTTTTCTCCAGGAGACACTGAGATTAGGAATCTGGAAGTGTTTTTGGTTTGTGGTAGAAATGTCAGAATTGTAGAAGCACATGTTGAAAAGCCAGAATGTGCTTCATACTCCACAATCTGAAATCTAGGGCTATACAGAGGTATGAATAAGATTTTACATAGCTAGTTAGATTTTGAAGAAAAGAAGGGAAAAAAGGAAGGGAGGGAGGGAAAATAAATTTGCTCACATCTGTTCAGTTGCTGCTAGAGTTCTGTGAGCAGAAATAGCTCCCTGACCTCATACACCTTGTCCTCGAACATGTGGGGCAATATTTCTGAGGATACATATTGGATCTCTCACTATTTACCTTCACAGGGCATCAAATGATGTTGATGATGATGATGATTTTGACCCAAAAAATGTGGTTTTGAGGTTACAGAGCAACCTGGTACATCCAAAGTAAACAGAACGGAAAAAGATTCAGAGATGAAAGTCTTGGTCATGAGGAGTGAGGGTATGAGGCCCTCCTCACAGTCTATTGTAGAGATGAGGAAGAACCATAGTATTAACACAGTGGGGAGCCCTCCTGCTTCGGGGCCTCTTGAGGGTGATTACAAGGTTAAATTATTAAACATCATGTTTTGACGGAGATGCTCCCTTCTTCAGGGGATCTTTCAAAGTACAATGAGGTGCTGCATAATGATGCTTTCAGTCAACATATATAACAGTGGTCCCTGGTGATAATGTGTTGTTACTATACCCTTTGTGTTTAGTTGTGTTTAGATACACAAATACTTGCCATTGTGTTATGATTGCCACAATATTCGGTATAGTAATGTGCTGTACAGCTTTGTAGCCTAGGAGCAACAGGCTATACACCATGTAGCCTATGTGTATAGTAGGCTATGCCATCTAGGTTTGTGTAAGCACATTCTATGATACTCACACAATGACAAAATCGCCTCATGACACATTTCTCAGAAAGCATCCATCCATTAAGCAATACATGATTATAAAGTGATCCATGTCAATGACATATTTAAATAGCCTTAGCCTGGATAACTGAGTTTGCATTTTGAGGTATATTTGGGACTGAAAAGGGGGATACATACTCTGAAATCTGTCTAAAAACAAGGAGCATAAATTTCTTCTCTTTCAAATCAGATTTGGATTGTTTCTACTCCTGCTCTCAAAAGAACTAGAAAAATAAGAACTGAAACATTATCTCCATGCTGGTGTCTGATTCTACATCCAATTGGTTAAATGAGGAGGTGTCAATGTGACTTTCAATATTTCCACAGTGTCATTTCCGGCTCTTTGTCCCATGGTGAACCCAGTCATGGACTGGCTGATAGAGTCATTAATTGCAGAGAAGTTCTGGAAGCTTTCAACCTCCTGGTGCTCCAGGTTAGCTCCTTCCCATACACTCTACAGACCCAACAGTCCCGAATCAGTTCCAACAATGAAGTTCACTGGATACAGCTGGACACTATGGTGAGTCTCTTGCCGCCTCTCGGATAATTCACAGTCATGTTCCCAGTTCCCCAAGGACCAGGACCTTGTAACAAAATATGGTTATGGCTCAAGACCATATTCACAAGAGTTCAAAATCTTACAGTGTTTTACACAAGAGTTCAGAAACCTATCTAACATACAAGGGGGGGGGACTCAAAAAAACTAGAATTTATTTCTAAAACATAGTGGATTTAATCTTACATGTTTAAACTTCACGTGCCTTCAAAATACTCTCCATTTGATGCAACACCCCTATCAAGACCCTTTTTCCACTGTTCAAAACAGATTAACTCATCAATTTTGATGCCTTTTAGTGCTTCTACCTTTTTTTGTTTGTTTTGTTTCACCTTGTCCCCATGGGCAAAACATTTTCCTTTGAGGACTTTTTTTATCTGGGGAAACAACAACCAAAAAATTCACTAGAGGTGAGATCAGGTGTCTAGGGAGGGTGAGGCATGGAGGTCGTGCCGCTTTTGGTCAAAAATTGCTGAACACTCAGTGCTGTGTCGGCAGGTACATTCGTAAATCACCCATCATGACATGGGCAAACACACTGAAAGAATCTCCCCCGCAAAAATTAACTGCAGCCAAATACAGCCTCCCACAACAGTGCTAGCTCGCATACTGATGCTGATGGGCTCCTAGAACACTTATCTAATGGGAAAACTTGTACTACAAGGGGCCTGCCCTCGAAACGATAATTCCAGGTTTTCTCGGAATTATCTCCCCTCATACTGTTTGATCTTACAAAAGTTCCATGTATTCACAATTATTATAAGACTAAAAACTAGTGAATAATGTCCTATATAAATTTTATTAGGTGGTTCTTTTTTCTCTTATCGTGCAGGAACAAAATTATCTATCCTACAGAGTTTTTAAAAAAACGTAATATTATCTGAAACCATCATCAATATCTTGGATTATCTTTGTGCCTTTAAGTGATTAATTTCACTCTGAGACCTAGAAATTGAATTGTCTTTTTTGATGGCCTCTTTGTCATGTTTTAGTCTGATGACATGTATCACTTAATTCACTCGTGCTCCCCCTGCAACTGGATTTTTTAAAAAATCAGTTCTAGCCGGGCTCGGTGGCTCAGCCTGTAATCCCACGCCTTTGGGAGGCTGAGGTGAGTGGATTGCCTGAGCCCACGGATTCGAGACCCGCCTGGGCAGCGAGACCTCATCTCTACAATAAATCAAAAAATTAGCCGGGTGTGGTAGCGTGCGCCTGTAGTTCCAGCGACTTGGAAGGCTGAGGCAGAAGGATTGCCGGAGCCCAGCAGGTCGGGGCTGCGGTGGCCGGGAGCAGCCACTGCATTCCAGTCTGGGCGACAGAGTGAGACTCCAACTCAAAAAAAGAAAAAAATCTGTTCTCACAGGCTTCTGATTAAAATGAGATGATGGCACTGTTACTCTAAAGAACTTAGTAGTAACATTGAATGTATTGAAAGTAAACATCTCAACACTGAATCCATCCAGGTCTTTATATTAGAGTATTATTATACTCTAATTTCTAATACTTGAAACATATTTTCTATGGCCAAAAAACTGTATACTAAATATGCAACCCATGAAAATAAATAAGCAATTTATAAAAATCGTAAAGATTGGCCATTAAGCAATGGATTTTTCATTTAAAATATTGAACACATTGGATATTAAAAAATAAGCATATTTAAGTTAAAAAAAATACCAGAAATTTCTTACATAAGACTGATATTTACTCATCAACTTAGTGCCTTTCAGTCTATCATGAAGTAAGTATATTCCCCTTTACTTTGGGCTCCCATCTTCAAGCATCTTTGCCATCAGAAAGCTCAGGGCCTTGAATTGTGTTGGCATCAACAGTCCCCCCTTCTGAGAACTGTCTCAGTGTGTTCACTGTCACTAGAGATTGCTTTGAGCTTCGCTGTCATGTGCTCTTCTCCACACCAGCACCATCCATTCATTGGGTTAGCGATGAGATAAGAGAGCTACCACTGTCGCTCTGCCTCCGTGGAACAGAGTGAGCCTGTGGAAAGCCCAAGCAGCTGCTGAGTTGCTTGGACACAGAGCGGGATTGCCAGTACACATGGAAAGAGCAGTTATTTTTTTAATCCAACATTGTTCTCCTATTGCTTGCTAAGTTTCAATGTAACTGTTGGGGTGGGGAGAGAACTATTCTTGTTTGTTTGCTCAGTCTCTTCCAGAAGGGATCACACCCCACACCCCAGTGACAGGGAGGACAAATAGCTTCTGCCCTTTATTTTCTGACGTGAAATAATAGAGAAATAGGCTTAAAATAATTTTCCTTAATAGTCATTCCTATGAGCATGGTTAACCTTTTTTGGTTTAATAATAGTATTGTGGTTACAGTCCTTTTTTTTTTTTTTTTTTTTTGAGTTGGAGTCTCACTCTGTCACCCAGGCTGGAGTGCAGTGGCACACTCATGGCCACCCCGGTGTCAACCTGCTGGACTCCAGCGATCCTTCTGCCTCAGACTTTCAAGTAGCTGGAACTACAGGCGCGAGCTACCATGCGCGGCTAATTTTTTATTTATTGTAGAGACGAGGTCTTGCCAAGTTGCCCGGGGCAGGTCTCAAACCCACAGGCTCCCAAAGTGTTGGGATTACAGGCTGAGCCACATTTTTTTTGGTTACATTTCAAAAAAAGATGCTTACCTTAGAGATATCTAGTGAAGTACTTTGGGATTAAAGATATGATATCAAGAATTTATTCAAAATTGAGGGGTGGGGAGTTATTCTACTCTTCTGTAATTAAAGGAAAGTCATCTCTGAAATTGAGACCAACAGGAAAAAAGGAAAAAAACATTGACTCTAATTTATGACAACTTTCTAAGTGTAGGGGAGAAGCTCCTAACAATTAGCCTTCTTTAGTTATCATGAAGCCAATGTCCTACAGGAGGAATAATCAGGAAAAGCAAAGTAATTCCATTTGAAAAGTATTATTGAGCCCTTGTCACTTGTTGTATCTTTCACAGAACACATAGAAAACACGTGGTTTGAAGGAAAAAGCAAAGTACGTATCAAGATCACTATTATCCAAAGTAGAATAAGACAATTTCAAAATATAAAAATACACTGGGAATTGAGATGAGGTCAAAGTCACATCCATTTGAGAGGACCAGGAAAGGCTGCATGCAGGAGAGGGTGCTGAGGATGACCCTTGAAAAACAGGAAGGACTGGGCTTGGTGGCTCAGCCTGTATTCCCAGCACTTTGGGAGGCCAAGGAGAGTGGATTGCCCACTGGTTCAAGACCAGTCTGGGCAACTTGGTGAGACCTCATCTCTACAATAAAATTAAAAATAGCCGGGCATGGTAGTGCACATCTGTAGTTTCAACTACTCGGAAGACTGAGGTAGAAGGATCGCTGGAGCCCAGAAGGTCAATGCTAGGATGATTGTGAGCATGCATGCCACTGCACTCCAGCCTGGGTGAAGGAGTGAGACTCCAACTCAAAAAAAAAAAAAAAAAAGACGGGAAGGACTGGCAGGGATTGGTGGCTGGGGGAGACAGTCTAGACAGCAGATGGTGTGGGCAGGGACACAGAGGAGGAAGCAGCGGGCATTTTTCGGGTATTACATAGGCAGCAAGGATATAGTGTTATTAGAATATGCATATTTATTTTTAAACATTAACAATGTAAATGTACAGCTTGATTAATTTTCACAAACTGAACACAACCATGGGGCCAGCGCTCAGACTAAGAAACAAACATTACCACCACCCCAGTAGTCCTGTGTCCCTTCCAGGCACTCCCACTAAAGAGTAATATGATTCTGGCCTTCTAAACCACAGTAATGACATTATACAAATGGAATCATGCAGTATGTACTCTTTTGTATCTGACTTCCTTTTTTGTTTTGAGTTGGAATCTCACTCTGTCACCCAGGCTGGAGTGCAGTGGCACACTCCCGGCCACAGCAGCCTTGACCTGCTGGGCTCAGGCAATCCTTCCGCCTCAGCCTTCCAAATAGCCAGAACTACAGGAGCGCGCTACCACGCCTGGCTAATTTTTTGATTTATCGTAGAGACGAGATCTCACCGTGTTACACAGGCTGGTCTCGAACCTACAGGCTCAGGCAATCCTCTCACTTCAGCCTCCCAAAGTACTGGGATTACAGGCTTTGGCCACTGTGCCCAGCAAAATATTCATTCTTATTGCTCTGTGTGTGTTTTACATTGTGTGACTCTACCGCAATTCATTTATCCAGTCTGTTTCATCTATTTCAAATAGTGCTGCCATAACATTCCGGCACATCTTTTAGTAAACATGCATGCATTTCTGTTGGGTCTGTATCTAGGAGGGAAATTGCTGAGTCGTCGGGTATGCATATGTTCCACTTTAGCAGCTACTGAAAGGCAGCCTTTTAAGGCAGCTCATTCAACCTAGAGGCTGAGTCAAAGTGATTCAGAAGTAGGAGATCTGTCTTTTCTGATCACTCGGGTTAGAATTAACAAACATCTGAATCAGAATGGTGGTCCTAGCAATAAAAAGCAAGGATGACATGGTGAATTTTCAGGATTTGGTTATTCAGGGAGACAGAAGAGTCTGAAATATTTTTAGGTGATGCCTTTAGTTGGAGAAAATAAGTCAGAAGGAAGTTTGCTTTGTATAGGGCAGATGATACTGACTCTAAGTGAAGACTGAGGTGAGCAGACCATCACAAATGCAAAATTAGGGTTCAGATTGGGGCTTGATGATGTCGACTTGAAATATGTTTTCACACTCAATGACCACTGAAGCAGCTGATGTGGACAAAATCATGGAAGAAAATAACAAAGACAACTGTGGAGAGGGCAGTGAGTCCAAGGACAGACAAATCAATGCCACTGGAGTTGGTCTCAGGAGTCCTTGGTGACCTGTCAGGGAACAGCATCAGGAGAGCAGAGAGTAGCTGGAACAAAGGCAGAGACCACAGCAAAGGCCCAGAGAGGGCGACAGGTGAGGGTCACCGAGAGGGAAGCCTTCAGGTGAGGGAGACATTTTTTTCTTCTTTATGAGAAGGGACACTTTCCCCCAAAGAAACAGTGATTCAGTAAGTCATATGATGTATGGTACTTGGAACATATCTCTAGAGTTAAGTCCTTTAGAGTTTCAAAATTTTGTGTTTTAAAGGATAGTCCCATTCACTTCTATTACAACATCTTTTGTAACAGAAATTATAGTTTGATGCAAACATAACAGACTGAAGAAACTATTAACTTCTAATTCTGATTTGTAGTAGCTCTAGTTCTTAAACCCATGCTGACTCCAACTGACCTCAGGTTATCTATTTAACAACCTGTCCCATAATTTTGCTATGAAAAAAAAAGAGAGGGAAAATGAGGACAGCTGGATGCACCCTATTCAGCAGGTTATAGCACTATGTCAAGAAAAGGAGCAGACACAGAGCAGGATCTGATGATTTCCAGAAGAAATGGGCCAAGAGTGAGAAGAACATGTGAAGACCAAATACACACAAGATGAAGCTTTTCCAGACTGGATGTCTGCAGTCCAGATGAAGAGGGAAACATAGATGAATGATTTCCCCCTGAAATGACTTACTGGACAGCTATCCAGAGTATAGCTCAACCCAGAAGGAAACAAGCAAAGGCTTCTAAGCCATCGAAATATATGTTATTCAATCTGTGTGCTAAGTCTCCAGTATCTATAAGAACACACTCCAGTACTCTCATAAAGCCTGTTTACCCTCAAGACTCTATTCCAACAAGCAGGGTTAACTGGTTTGGGGAGCCTTAAAATAATTAAAGGCTGCCAATTAATAATGCTTTATTGTGATCTCATGGACCTTATAACTCATACAATTGTTTCTCTCTTTAGACGGACTACTAAAAAGCTCAGAACCAAATTTGTAGCTCACTCCTTTTGTTCTTTTTATAAAAGTTTCTTCTTAAATGTACAACAGGCTTCAAGACAACACCTCATTCTAGCTATAGGTGGCAAAGGAAGTTATGTCAGGGAATACAGATATTTAAATATGAATGGAATCAAGAGTCATCATGGCTTTAGGAAGAAGGAACAGCTTACTTTTTGCCAGATTTCTTAATTCCACCCGTGGCCAGGGGGCCTTTCCCCGTGGCCTTCGCTTTTAGCTCCTCGAGTTTCTTCTGCTCCTCTTTTTGTTTCCACTTGAAAGCTGTATCTTCCTTGTCCATCTTCTCGGCCTCCTTCTTGGGTGGTTTCAGGGGCTTCTTCCTGCCACCTTCCCAGCCCAACATGGTTCCTGCACCCCTTCCCCTGACCCTGCCACCGGAAGCCTACTTCACTTCTAACAAAGTGTGCAGAAGCTTCTGGCGTGCATTGTGGGGCATACTAACTTTATCCCTGGCCCAGTCTTATTTCTCTTACCCTTTTCTTTATCCTCCAATTGCCTAATTTATTTTTAATCTTATTATATTTCTTAAAGCTGTCTTATTTCCTTTATACAATGTGTTGAAGAGCCTTTAAGGAAGAATATCCATACGCAATAAATAAATAAAAGTGAGACTAAAATGCACAGGCCACATGACAGCAAGAAGAAATGACTGTAAAAATTAATGTAGAAAAGAGATGCGAAAACTATAAACAAAAACAGATGCCTGAACTCAAAAAGCATATCTCATATTCTGGAGCTTCTCAGTTTAAGGATAAGCAGCTTGTCACACATCTCAGGATCCTCTCAGGGCATCCTGGTGTCCCATCCTAAAATAGGGATTCATTTTCATAGTGATGACTGAGTCATTAAGAAGGAATAGATTAAATACCATGTGCTCTGTTTAAGAAGGCAGAAAAGTATATATTCCATTTTTGAAAATAAAATTTGCTTTTAAAAGTTATCTAAGTGATGTCAGAAAAGTTTACGTTTTCTGTAACAGAGGCGTTGAGTCAGTCAGTCTCCAGAGAGTTCTGTGAATCATGTATGTCTCAGTAGAGAGAGCTGCTTTCAGCAAGGAAAGAACGGGAATTAAAGCTATCTGACCTTGTATATTGGAACAAAAGAAAAAGAAAACAGCCATCAACATAGTTACCATCTGCCTTAAAGGAGTGTGTCAACATTCCACTAATCATATATTCAGTTTGTTTGAAGTGAAAAGAAATTTCAGCCAGTTCCTCAGACTGGACTGCAGAATTGGTGACACATAATGAAACACAATTTATTTTCCCTCCCTGTCAGGAAATAACTTCTATGGATTTTCCCACCTCCCCACCCCTCTAGCAAACAGGATTCGCAGTATTCTGTCCTCATCGGCTTTTTGCTCTGTATTTTGAATCAGGAGGACGTGGGCTGCGAGGAGAAGCTGTACTTCGGCTTGAATGAGTACAGCAAGTCTCTGCAGTGGGGGATCACAAGCCCACTTCTGAGATGTGACGAGACTTTTGAAAAAATGGTGAACACACTCTTGGAGAGGTAAATAAGGACTTCTGCCCTTTCTTTTAGCTGTGCTTGCAGATCTAAAATAACCAAAAGCCTTTTGTGTCAGTGCCACGGGGAGCTTGGTAGAGCCCTTGCAGATGACATGCAAAGGCCAAATAAACCCATTCTTTCCCAAGACGACCTTCTGTTCCTGTGGGTTTTACAGGACCGTCCAAGACCAATAAAGGAGAACAGTAGTCCAGAGTGGGAGGCAGTGCCACTCACCCTGAGGCATCTTCATCATACTTTGCTGCTACCACCAGGAGATTAAAAGGGTGGAGAGGGATTTGCTTATTAAGGACCAGTCCTCTGAGCTCTGGCCTCCCCAACCCTACACACCTCAGACTTTTACAATTTTCCCTCTTTTCCACTCGGTCGCCACAGGCAAGTGCCCTGAGATGACTCAGTAAAAATTAAACTTTACTATGAGATATTTGTAATATACACAAGAGAAAATTAAAGGAATAATCAGATAATTAAAGTGAGTTCAGTTCTTAGGGTGCCTCGTCCAGGACCCAGACTTAGTGATAAAGGATCATGACTTTTCTGTCTTCCCTTCCTTTTTTTTTTCTTCTCCAACTCTAGATCAAACTCTGAAAGAATTTTTTCCTCTCCAACCTTGACTCATAGACTCCACGCCTAGGTAGAAACATCAGGAATGACTCATCCTAGTGGAGGTTCCTCTGCGCCTTCTGCCACAATATGCATGTTTGACCATCCAACCATGAGGCATTTGAGCTCTAGCTTATGAGACAGTCTAATTTTTAGTAGCTCTAGTTCTTAAAACTGGCTCCAGTTGATCACAAGCCATCTACTTAACAACCTGCCCTACAATTTTGCTAAGAAAAAGAAAGAGCCGGGCTCAGTGGCTCAGCCTGTAATCCTGCGCCTTTGGGAGGCTGAGGTGAGTGGATTGCCTGAGCCTGCGGCTTTGAGACCCGCCTGGGCAACTTGGCGAGACCTCATCTCTACAATAAATAAAAAAATTAGCCGGGCATGGTAGCGTCCGCCTGTAGTTCCAGCTACTTGGAAGGCTGAGGCAGAAGGATCGCCGGAGCCCAGCAGGTCGAGGCTGCGGTGGCCAGGAGTGGCCACTGCACTCCAATCTGGGCGACAGAGTGAGACTCCAACTCAAAAAAAAAAAAGGAAAAAGAAAAAGAAAGAGAAGTTAAAATGAGGACATGTGATTGCATCCTATCCAGCGAGTCACAGCGCTGCCTCAGGAAAGACCCAGAGTTGGATTTGATATTGTCATAGCTGTTGGATTTGAGGAGTCTTAACTGACTCTGTGACATTAATCCTGTCACAGTACATGTGAACTTCCAAAACCATTCCATGAGTCTCCCCTTTAAATGTTTCCCAATTTCCCATCTTGTCCACCAGCTTGGAATATATCTATTTTTTCCCCAGTAACATCATTCAGAGTTTCATATCTTATCATTTAAAGGATAATCCCAATAAGTTCTACTACAACTTTTTTAGCACTTACAAAACTATAATTATAGTTTAATATAAACCTAATGGATTGGGAACTTCATAATTTTTTCAGAGTGAGATTTAAACGCCTGTATTTCAAAGTTACCATTTATTCTAACTCTGGCTTTTCTACATGGCCCCCCCCCAAAAAACATGAAGTTTTAAACATAAATCATCTATGCTTACTTCCTCCAATCCAGTCACCCAGGCTAATAATAGCTATGATTTATTGAACACCTGAAGAGACCAGTGCAAGACTGACCAAACTGAAGGATTTCACTTTTCTCCAACCTACTAAATCCTTGCAATGTGTGAAGACATTGTTAGAGACCCAGATGAAATCTAAACCTAGCTTTGTCTCTGAGCAGTGGTATATCTGGGACAAGTGTCTGAATTTCTTTCTGCTCCTTAACTCATTGTCCTTCTAGGACAAGGCAGGGTGATTAGAATGCAGGGCATCTGTAGCCCTTTCCAGCTCCAAAAGATATCAAAAGTATCTGTGAACTCTTCATTTGATGATCGTAATTAGTACCTGACCCTGGGCTTTTCTGTGCAAGGCTGGGAGACCACCTGTATTTTAAATAGAATTATAAAGTATTACAAAGGTGAGATATCTCATTAGCCTACTCAGCTACTGGACATGCACATGCAACCAGCTGGCAACCAGAAAGAAAACACACAGGCCCAGTCTCATTTTACCAGGCTCCATGAGAACCCTAGCCAACCGGGCTTTGCCAGCACCTACTGTCTTCCAAGATCAGACAAGATCGAGTGCATTTAGGGTGGTATGGCCATAGACAGCCTACTACTTGACAAGCAACTTCTCATGCCTGCAAATGGGTCCTTTGTACCCATTTTGTCATCAGGCCTGGCTTTCTGAGGAATAGCACAGACATGAGAGATTTTCTACCTGCTCTGTAATTGCAAAAGCTGCCCATTTGAACAAAGTGATCCTCTTACCTAACTGTCCAGGCAGGGGAGAGAATGGTACCAAGACTGTTGCTACCAGGCTCAGATTTGCTTGGCGTCCTTGACTAAAGAGATTCTCAGGTGATGAGGCTATACCACTGGGAGGTGCTATTTCTTCAGTCAGCTCCAAGTTTTCTCCAGTACCAATGAACAGTTTATGGGAAGATGAGTTATTGCTATCTCTGAGGCTGCCCTTAAATTAGTAATAATAGGCTGAGCACAGTGGCTCATGCCTGTAGTCTCAGCACTTCAGGAGGCCAAGGTGAGACAACCATGCGAGCTCAAGAGTTCAGATCCAGCCTAGACAACATAGTGAGACTTCTTTTCTACAAAATTTTTTTTTTCCAAAAATTAGCCAGATGTGGTGGTGCATGTCTTTAGTCTCAACTACTCAGGAGGCTAAGGCAAAAGGATGAACCCAGGAGGTCGAGGCTGTGATAAGCCAGGATTGTGCGACTGTACTCCAGCTGGGCCAACAGAGAGACCCCCAACTCAAAAAAAATAGCAATAATAACTATCCCTTTTGTGGGTGATACTCCACAGATATTACACTAATGTCTCAGTTTCCTTTACTGTAATTTTTTTGGTTTTTTGAGTTGGACTCTCACTCCGTCGCCCAGGCTAGAGTGCAACAGCACGCTCATGGCCAACCCAGTGATGGCCTGTTGGGCTCAGGCAATCCTTCTGCCTCAGCCTTCCAAGTAGCTGGAACTACAGGCACACACTACCACGCCTGGCTAATTTTTTTTTTATTTATTGCAGAGATGAGGTCTCGCCAAGTTGCCCAGGCGGGTCTTGAACCCTTTGGCTCAGGCAACCCCCTCTCCTTGGCCTCACAAAGTGCTAGGATTACAGGCTTGAAACATCGTGCCTGGCCCCTTTACTGTAATCTTAAGTATCAGAGAAATGAGCTGACACACTGCCATTCTAACCCAGTGCTGCCCAGCAAGAGGTAAAAATCCAGGGATTATCCATTATGATTCTGTCAATAATTAACCTGAATACACCAGCATATCTCAAAACTTACCGTACACACATCTCTCCTGGGTGTCTTGTTAAGCTGCAGATTCTGATTCAGTACGTTTGAGGTGGGGAGGTTGGCATTTCTAACAAACTCCCAGGTGCCGCTGCTGTTGCTGCTGGTCCACAAACCACGCCTTGAGAAGCCAGGGTCACTCGACCATCCCTAAACCTCGTTAATGTGCTGTATTTACCCAAGCAGATTGGTTCATGTTTTAGAAGCTCAACTTCTCCCTCCAGTGATGTGGGATCCAAGGCCATTCTGGAGCTAAGGCCCCACCGCTGATCAGTCACCCCTTCCCTGTCCTTCCTGACCTGCGTTCTTACTGCGCAGACCTTGCTGTCCCCAGCTGCTGCCTGAGTGCTAGTTCCTTGTGTTCTGTTGAAGGTACCCCAGACTGCACAGCATGGTCGTCCGCTGCTACCTGCTCATCCAGCAGTACTCCGAAGCTCTGATGGCTCTCACCACCATGGCATCCCTCCGAGACCACAGCACACCGGAAACTCTCAGCATGATGGATGACCTCATCAGCTCCCCAGGAAAGAACAAGAGTGGGAGGGGACACATGCTCATCATCAGGGTGCCCTCGGTGCAGCTAGCAATGCTGGCCAAGGAGCGGCTGCAGGAGGTGCGCGACAAGCTGGGTCTGCAGTATCGGTTTGAGATCATCCTTGGGAACCCAGCCTCTGAACTCAGTGTGGCGACGCACTTTGTGGCACGATTAAAGGTTAGTAATGGACAGATGCTTCCCCTTCAAAATGGCATTTGTTTCTGTTTCCTAGGAATTGGCTCCGGGGCCTGAGTTTAACAGATTTTTTTGGTACTGGTGTGAACTTGATCTCCATGACAATGTTAAGGCTAAGCTAAGGGACATACTCACTTTCTTAATTGGAACCCGTTTAAAGATTCTGTCGCACCCCGTTTTAGCACGTGCATGCAGTTGGTCTTCCATGCTCTCCAACTGCAGGTACAAAAAATGAGATGACCCCATTTGACCCCATGTTTATTGACCTTGTTCAAGATGCATCTAGCCCACGGCCATCTGTTTTCTCAGACGAAAAGGTAAGTTGTCCTCTCAGACCTCTGTGGGTTACCCCTTTAAGTATCCTCCACTCACTGATTCTTTTCTGTTCATCTAGCCCTTCTGTCAGCTCATGTCTAGAGTCGGTAAAGTATTGTTTCATCTTCAGCACTCATATAAAGCTGCCCCTCGCTCTCTTGCATGTGGATTCCTCAGTGTTGGTTCTTTCTTTGTTCTCGCTTTGACCCTCGGCCCCGAAGCTTTGGCTGGACTGAGACTTGGTCAGGTATCCTACAGAGAGATTGAGTGCATGCCGAGTCCCTCACTGCTCCCTCTGCACGGCCAGTGACTGACTGCCTCCCTTACCTCTCCTGTCAGGCATGGGGGTGGGGGAAGAAAAATCCTTCAACTAACCTGACTTCCCTACCTTATGCCTGGCTCAGTTTTTTCCTGGGAAATTTCATAATCCAATGTGGCCTTGCCATCAAAAAGCAGTTAACCGAATGCCCACATTCAGCGAGGTATGGAACTGATCTAGGTACTCTGTGTCTGTGTTAGATCAATATGGTATCTGTACCCTTGCATACTAAATACAGAGCTCAACTGGGTTAAGAAAAATCTAGTTTGGCACACATTTTATGAAAAGCAAGCACGTAGTCTTGGGGAATTTGCATTTTCACCTCCGACTGTATGATCTCTAAGAGCTCTAATTTGGGTATGATTATTTAGCGTTCAAAAATCATTCTGCGAATGTAAACCTTTTTCTTGTATTCTATTAGCTAAACAAAGTTGAATAATCCAAAGTGCAAACAAAGTATCTTGTATTAGCTTGATAAGAAACGGAACAAAATTGTCCCCAAATAGAAACTCCTATATTTAGTAGAAGTTGTAACATGTATATTTATTTTATATTTATATGTAGATATATCTTCAATTTATTTTGATATTTATATTTACATGTAGATATATGTTTACAATTTTTAATCATAGCATAGCCTACATTAAAACAGAATTCCTAGGATGAATGCCAGAACTCCTGAAACCCTACTACAGCTCATTGAGACAGAGGGCTGGAGGCAATCTGAATTATGCTAATGATGAATTCTGAAGGAGAATCTCAGCACTTGGGAGACAACCCAAATGTGATGTGAGGCTGCAGGGTCTTCTCTGCATCTCTGAGGCTATGAATTAAATGTAGCCACTTGTAGACCCTTCAGTCATTTGTTTAGAAGAGCCAGTCACCAAGTCAGTAGAAATCCATGGATCCCAAATAATTCACCTCTCTGGGCCACTGTTCGAAAACCACAGTTGAGACCAGAAGCTCTTCACCTGGCTGGTAGCGCATCAGAATCACCTGCAGGGCTTTTAAAGGGCCATTGGCCTTTGCAGTCAGGATTGAGGACCACTGTGCCATAAACAAAGGGCACCTCAAGTAATTGCTTCTCAAAACAGTGGTATCTCCTTTAATTGGTCTGAGTAGTTGCCACTCACCAACGTAAGAGAATCCCATAGTCTTTCTGGGCATGGTAATGTGTGCCTGTAATCGAGCTACTTGGGAGACTGAGGCAGGAGGATTGTTTGAGACTGCAGTGAGCTATGATCACTGCACTCCACCCTGGGCAATGCAGTGAGACCCTGTCTCATAAATAAATAAATGTCACATCAATCCTTTTTATACTCTATGGGAGTAGAAATATGAGATCCTGTTGGGATGTTCACATTCTAAGCAAGATTCCCTCTTGTCAGGTAGATTCCGGTCACCTGTTTATTTCTAATTTACCAACCTCCTTTACCATTTTCAGGATGGTGAGGGTGTGTACCTTTTAACTCTAGTCAGGTAGAATCCAATGCTTCTTCCATTATGTGATCTTGTTTGCTGTGCTTTTAATTATCCTGTTATGGATTGCTTTGGAAGGGTACAAAGTTGATATCATTTCCTCCAGGTGCATGTGAAGCTTTTGTGAGGTGCCCTTGGCCTTACGTCCTGTGCTATCCTTGAACTCAGTGATCATCCAGTCCTTTGTGTTAAGTGCCTCTGTAGTAAAAATCATCTTGAGAACTCGGTAGATCCATAAAGAACTGCAGCCACCACTCACCAGAAGTAGCAATGTGATGGAAAAGCATTTTGTAGTGAGTTTGGCTAGCTGTGATTGGTCAAGAGTAAAAGTGAGATTGGTTTAATAATCTCCTGAAAATCAGTCTCCTCATATAGTAACACATTATCTCTGCCATCCCATCATTGTAACCTGACCTTATTATTCTTGGTAGAACCATGGCCTATATAGATGGTTTCTGGGAGATAAAACACGTTCAGGGAGAATCCCAGTATCAGGGATATCATAAGTCCAGCGTGAAGGCTGTCAGTAAAATGGTTCCTATTCCAGAACTGTTGACTTTAAATAAGGTTGTATTATGGTTCCCTTGGATATGAAATGGTAGGGGAAATTGAATTTTTGTACAGAATCTTTCTTCTAGTATTTTCAAAAGTCTATTTGACAGATAGCTTTTTCTAAGATGTGGAAAGTCTCTCAAGCTTGTAAACTGTTACATAGATCCACTGATTTCCCCTTGGGATGCATATATAATAAAACAATGGGCAACAAGTAACAGCATAATAATAATTAAAGTTCTTCCAGTTTTACAAATTATAGAAATTATGTTTGAAGTAATTATGAGTATGTATATCTCTGAAGACCGGTTTTTCTTTATTGAGCCTTAATCAAATCTTATTATATTATCTTTTGCCTGGTGGATTTCTTTTTATCCCATGTTGTGCTTAGCAAAGGAAGTGCAAGTCTGTTTTAAGATAAAATTATATAAGGGGGCACCCCCCCAAAAAAACAGAATTATTTTTTGGAGGGTGGGCCCCTTGTAGTGCAGGCTTCCCCTGCTAGGTAAGTGTTCTAGGAACCCATCGGCAGCAGTGTACCAACTAGCGGTGTTGTGAGAGGCTGCGTTTGGCATCAGTGAATTTTCTTTGGAGAGTCTTTCAAAGCGTTTGCCCATTTCATGATGGGTGATTTATGAGTGCACCTGACCACGCTAAGCTGAGGGTTCAACAGTTTTTGACAAAAAGCAACATGACCCCCATGCCTCACCCTCCCTGTTCACCCAATCTCGCCCCAGGCAACATTTTTCTTGTTTCTCTGGGTGAAAAAAGTCCTCAAAGGGAAATGATTTGCTGATGTGGAAGAGATGAAAAGAAAAATGGCAGAAGCACTAAAAGGCATCAAAAGTGATCAGTTCAGAAACTGTTTTGAGCAGTGGAAAAACAGTTTCTGAATTTGAATTGCATCAAACAGAGAGTACTTTGAAGGTGACTGAAGTTTAAACATGTAATAACAAATACACAATTTTTTAATAAATAAATTCTGGTTTTTTGGGTCCCCTCTTGTATGCATTACTTAATATTGCACTTCTTAGTCCTTATTCCCTAAAGCATTTTCAGATATGTCAGTTCATTTCTTAAAGTAATTCCTGTTGGAAAGCTAATAAAAAGCATAGTTAGATAAACATTTAATAAAAAGTACTAGAAACCCCTTACCTACTTAAGAGGTGGTTTATTTTCTTTTTTGTTCTAAAATAGGCAGGAAAATTTGTAAGATCTTTTTACTTTTGAGCATCTTTCAAGTTGGTGGGAGTTTTTTATTGATATATTCATGCTTTTAAGATTGATGTTCCATTTATTAAAGATATACATATGTGTGTATATGTATATGTATTAATATTTAATAAAGCAATGCCTGATAGGTTATTTGAGAAACCATGGGCAAATGGCACTGCTATTCCAAGTAAGAGGCAGTGTTCTTTTTCTCGATCCAGGTCTGTTTATGCTTTGGGCCTTCTTGCAAGAAACATTTTGGAGGCCCTACGTCAAAAACTACCCATCAGTTATTTTAAAAGTCAACAAAGCAAGAAAGAGGGGAAATAACCATCAAACATGGCTCATTATTTTCATTGTTTTCTTGGTGAAAATATCTGTTTTGATGGAGTTTTGAGATTTTTTTTCTGAGTTACTCACAACTTGAAACTGTCTTTTTCAGTCAACCAATTCCAAGAATTTATCGAATACGTGTGAAGAAAATATATCTAAATACATTGAATCAAGTAGGTTAGCCAGAATTTCTATAAGGTTTGCATCACTAGAGGGGTATTTCACACTGTATGTTTTCTTGGCCTGTGTACTAACACATGAGGTAAAACCAGTATCTCACATTTTATCCTATTGAGATTAAAACCAAAGGCCTCATTCCTATAGAAGTGCTTTCTGTATGCCTTTTAGTAGCAATAAAAATATATATACAGGGCCAGACACAGTGGTTCACGCCTATAATCCCAGCACTTTGGGAGGCCAAGGCGAGAGGATTGCCTGAGCCCACGGATTTGAGACCAGCCTGGGCAACTTGGCAAGACCTCATTTCTACAGTAAAAAAAAAAAAAAAAATTTAGCTGGGCATGGTGGCATGTGCCTGCAGTTCTGGCTACTTGGAAGGTTGAGGTGGAAGGGATCACCTGAGTCCAGCAGGTCGAGGCTGTAGTAGCTGTGAGCGTGTCACTGTACTCCAGCCTGGGTCCAGCCTGGGTGACAGAGTGAATCTCCAACTCAAAAAAAATACACACACACACACACACACACACACACACACACACACACACACACACATATACACACTCAGTGGAAATCATTTGAAAGCACAATGTATCTAAAATCTGGGCCTAGAAACCTCTAAAAAGGTGAAAACTTAAATGAGGAGTTTTAATGTTATCACATGGGTCTCTTTCTACAGACTTGGAGAGGAAATGAACCAGAAGAGTGGATCCCTCGGACATACCAAGATTTAGAGGGTCTGCCTTGTATTGTGATATTAACTGGCAAAGATCCTCTTGGAGAATCCTTCCCCAGGTATAATTTCAATAATTAATTCTACTTTTTATTGGTTGCCCAGCCGATCTGATGATTAAAACTTAGCTGATGCCCAACCATTTCATTTGTTGGCAGGTAATGAGAAGAGGATTATTTTATGCAGGGGATAAGAAATATCGCCTTCCTTTATTCTCTTTCAGTGTTCCAGAGCTCACTCAGCAATTTTGAGAATGAGAGATAGCCACATCTGAGAAATGCTTGTGCATCAAAGCAAAGCAGACAGAGGCAGGAAGGAAAAGCAGGATTTTTTTTTTTTTAATAAAATGCTTGGTCTTTGTTAATCTGCTGCTCACACCCTCCTTAAGGATCTAGGCTCCACAGATTGGAAGCAAAATAACAACAGTAAAAGCCTTTATTGATGCTTACTGTGTATGTCGGGCAGTACCCTACATGCCTTTCCAGGTATCGGGCCCTTCATTCCTTACAATGACCATATGAGCCCAGCACAGCTATTCGCTGTCTTTTATACCTGAAGAAGGTGAAGCAAAGATAAGTTAAGGTTGTAATAGCTGGGAGGTGGCAGAGCTGCCGTCTAAATCAAGGCTTACCTAGTGCTGAAACCTGTGATTTTAACTGCTGGGTGGTACATCCGGATCTCCAGGCATGTGTGGACTCACTAGCAACATAATTACTTTTGTTCAGGTCTTTGAAGTACTGTGACCTCCGGCTAATTGACTCAAGCTATTTGACACGCACGGCCTTGGAGCAGGAGGTGGGTCTGGCATGCTGCTATGTCTCCAAAGAGGTCATCCGGGGACCCACAGTCGCCCTGGACCTCAGTGGGAAAGAGCAGGAGAGAGCCGCTGTCAGCGAGAAAGACTCCGACGAGCTGCTGATTGACCTGGAACGGCCCCAGAGCAACAGTAGTGCTGTCACGGGGACCTCAGGTCTGTACTTTACTTTTTTCTTTCCCGGGCGAGGGACAGGAGGGCGGAGGTGGGCCAGAGAGCAGGCAGCAGGGGCATTCGCAGACACCCCTAAGGCCTTCACAGGAGCTTTCCGTAACTCTGGCTTCCTCTCCAGACCTCAGCTACCTGGAAACTTGGAAAACATGACTTGGAACATACTTGGAAAGCATGACTGTGGAACAGCCACAAAATACTTCTCTGGGTGCATGTTTAATGAAAAGCCTGGTACTAAGCTAAAGACAATAAATTTTATCGGCCCCAGCCTGTACCATTTTCCCTAGTCTTTCTCGCCCTTCATCATCTTTGTGTTATTATGCAGTTCATGTTTGCACAAAGGCCCTGTTTTAATTCCAGGTCTTGAAGCTGTAAGTTTGGTGCTAAGTGGCTTTAGTACCTGGCACAGAATGTTTGTTTGAATGAATGAATGACTTTTCTACATACTTAGTGGCAAGTGTTTGCATAGTGAAGGCTACTCTGGGGCTATGGTCAGTTGTGAGGCTCCACCATGCAGCCCGCCTGGCCCCCTCTTACAGCTTTCCTGGATGTCTCATGGCAATGCCAGGTGTGAGTGTTCTAGTGAATCGTATTATAGCAAACGCAGCACTCCTTCCGTGTTTTTTCTGATGATTAAAGTAAAGCTTAGTGCAGAAAACTTGGAGAATGTAACGAAGTACAAAGAGATTAAAACTGAAACATAATCTCACTCTGAGAGGTAACCACTCTTCACGTGGGTCGCAGGTCCCTCCTTCTTCCCCCTCTTTTTTTGGACTGTCATTGAGATGATCCCATCACTCTGACACCCACATGCAAACACACATCATGGTGTGGCCGAAGCACTGGTCTTCCTGTTCATTCTGTCAGCAGCTGGTGGATGGCTCTGTACAGGAACTGAGGAGGCAGGTATCTGTGGGCTTTCCTGTCTGTCTCTAGTGACTGACGCTCAGCCTGGACATGCATGAGAGCTGCCCTTCTCCTCGGTATGTTCAGCTGCTTCCCCTCAGCCAGGGATGAGGGCTGACTGTGTGCATCACGCCACCTCTCTCAATCCCACCACGAGACCAGTTCAGAGTCAAGAGGTTCAGAGGACAGTGAAGGGTCACAGAAGGCAGGAGGAGATAGCACAACTCGAAGCTTTTGGATACTGGCAGGGGGAGGAGGAGGAAGAGGGAGGTGTGTCTTCCTTCCTGTGGTTCTTTTGTCACACTCCTTCCTTTACCTTCCCTTGTAGAGCTGCTCTGGCCACTGCAGCCTAGACCTGCTGGGCTCAGGTCATCCCTCCTCAGCCTTCCAAGTAGCTGGAACTACAGGCACACGCTACCACACCTGGCTTATTTTTTAATTCGATTTATTGTAGAGACAAGGTCTCACCAAGTTGCCCAGGCGAGTCTCAAACCTCTGAGCTCAGGCAACCTTCTCACCTTGGCCTCCTACAATGCTAGGATGACAGTACAAAGAGATTAAAAAGGAAACATAATCCCCCTCTGAGAGGTAACCGCGCCCAGCCTTGTTTCCCTCCTGATAGACCATGCTCAGAACCCCGAGCAGACCCCAGCCCATGGGCCCATTCTGAGGGAGACGGGAGGCCCCCTGCCCAGAGCACGCAGGGTTGTGAGGGGAAGGGCAAGCTCTCCTCCAAGACAGACAGACACTAAAGGCAGGTGAGCAAGTGGAGTGACTTGGATTAGTAGCTCCTCATGCAGGATCTCCCATGGTTGGGATTTGACTGACATTTGTGGGCGGCACCAGCCTGAGCTCAGAGAGAGCCTTGAGTCTGAGTGTGATAAGCTTTCAGTTTGTCCTCAAACCAAAGAGTGACTGATTTAATAGGAGGAAAAACATATTTGAAGTTAACTGGCCAAACGTACAGGGATCCCTTAGGGAGGAGCTATATGGCACTCAGAGTGGCTCGCATCAGCCATCCTCCTTGCATGGAGACTCCGCTAGCCTGGCTTGGGAGTCCATGGAAGTGGCTGCAGCCTGGGAAGCTTATCCATGGCCAGAAGTGTGAGGCCCTCAGCACCCCCAGAAGGAAGCGAGTGCTGGCGGAGCAGGCCTTCCATGTGGAGCCTGCACTGGGTAGGGTCCTGCAAGGGATCAGATGGCAGACCCAAATGAGGCCGTCTGGGGAGATTATTTACAGCAAAGGTACTATTTACAGAGGTATGGGCAGGACTTAGAAAAGGAGCAAGAGGTGGTGTAGAACTGGGGTCCAGTTAGCCCCAGGAGTCCTGCCCACTGGGGCTGAGGAAGTGAGGGGAGAGAGCAACTTTTAGGACCTGAGCTGCAGAGAAAGGTGGCCAACCCAGGATGGCCAAGTCCACTGAGAAGCGAGGGCAAGGGTGCAGGATGAAGCAGCATGGTGCAGGGTGCAGGACTGAGGCAGAGGGAAGGTTTCCTCACAGTGCCTGCAGCCGCAGAACCGAGCCAGGTGTCCGCAGCTTTCCTGGCCTGCTGCCTCCCTCCCAGAGGCGCCAGGAGCCTGGGAGGCGCACACTTTAGCATCAGTAACAGGGCCAGTGTGGGGTGGGTTCTGTCCGTTCTCTTTCAGGTTCCATCATGGAGAATGGAGTGAGCTCTTCCAGCACAGCTGACAAGTCCCAGAAGCAGTCCCTGACCCCCAGCTTCCAGAGCCCAGTCACCAGTGTGGGGCTGGATGAAGGGGTCTCTGCCGGCATGGCCGGAGCCGGGGAGACTCTGAAGCAGGAGTGCGACTCCCTGGGCCCCCAGATGGCCAGCAGTACCACCTCCAAGCCTTCGTCATCCACCTCGGGACCCAGGACCTTCCCGTGGCCGGGGCAGCCTGTCAGAGGCTGCAGAGGCCTGCAGGCGGCTCTGCCGCCGATAGTGATCTTATCCAAAGCGGCCTACAGCCTCCTGGGCGCCCAGAAGGGTGGCAAGCTGCCATCCTCCTCGTCCTTGCTGCCCCATGCTGACGTGGCCTGGGCGAGCTCCCTGCGGCCGCTCCTGCACAGGGACTTGAGCGGCGAGGAGCAGTCCCTCTACTACAGGCAGTGGACCTCGGCCAGGCAGCACCACGCCGACTACAGCAACCAGCCGGACCCGGCCTCCGGCGCGCGGACCTGCCACCCCCGGCGGCTGCTGCTCACTGGGCCCCCCCAGGTAGGGACGGGCCAGACTGGGCCTTGTCTTCAGCTAGGGTCGGCGCCGCCTCCTCACCAAGGAAGGAAGCCAGGGAACCTCTTGGGGGTGGAGCGAGCGTGACAGAGCAACGAGGACCTCATCAGGGGTCTGGGGCAGAAGGAGACAAGAAGGAGCGAAGTGTGAAACCTCTCTTCTCTTTTCCTCTCCCCCCTTCCCCTCTCCAACCCTCCCCAATTAAAAATGTCTCCATCAGGTGGGAAAGACTGGCTCCTATTTACAGTTCCTTAGGATCCTCTTCCGCATGCTCATCAGGCTCCTGGAAGTGGATGTATTTGACGAGGAGGAGATCAACACGGGTGCGTGCTGCGCCTGCGCGGTGGCGGGTGGCGGAGGGGCGGGACGCAAAGACACGAAGCCCCGGAGCCTGGCGGGGTGCCTTTGCCTTCTGGGATTTCTACAGCTCCCACCCTGTGGAGTTACCCTGAGGTTGAGATAAGGTGCCCAGCAAACAGTCCTAAGTCAGCTGGTCTTTTTAGCATATTGAGGTCGGGGTGGCCTATTCTGACTTGGACCTGCACGGTGTCCGGCAAGATGCTGGGCACAGAGGCATGACAGAAAGACTCATTCGGTATATTAATTGCCCAGAGGGTTACACGGTTACAAAATTTGATTTGCAGTATTCAGCTACTTGAGGACCCAGGGCATACTTACATTCTGGATTCTGGTCCTCTATTGTTCAGCCAGAGTATATATTCTATTTTCACCAGAGGCTCTGGGGGGAGGACTGCTATAGTGAAATGAAAACTTCTGTGTGGGGAACTGCACACTGGCACCACAAACAAAACACTTTCCCATTGGCAGTAACACACGGGGTGGCTGATGCATAGAGCTGTGGGAGCCAGCGTACAGACCAACGTCAGGCCAGCCTTAGAACAGCGTGGCCTCAAAACTATGGCTTCATATCTCACAGGAATTTGTGCTGGAGGGGAACTAGGGAGAGGCAGAAGAGATGACCAAGCCCCTCAAAGATGAGTCCAGAATAGGGAAAGCACTTGGCATCCTCAGATTAGCTCTTAGAGATCTCCCCTCACTCGTTTTGCCAAAATAGTTGGACCAACTGTGACCAATCCAAGAGATTAGTTTAGTGCCAAGCAAAAGTAGGTGAAATCAGTCACATTTAATCTATGGTTTCAGCCCTTTTCCTGGATATTCCTCAATTCACATCCATGATTACACACACACACACACACACACACACACACACACACACACACACACACACTCATCTTCCCATCCACATCTTGTTTGTGTGTCCCCCGCTGAGTTGCACCAGACTCCCCAGCCCACCACAGAGGGGAACCCAAGCTCCAGGTTTGCCTCCAATTACCCCATGCCCCCTGGAAGGGAGCTGGGACCAGGACAAAGCCAGGGACCAGAAGACTAGGAGTCGGGTCCTGTCCTGTTAGCTTTGGCCTCCCAGGCTCCTTGGCATCACAACAGAGTGATGCCTTTGATTTTATCTCAGATCACGCTACAGTGACCTTGGATTTTACTCTGCAGATGAGTTGTGAGAAAGTCTGTTACAGACCATTCGACAGAAAGCTGCCCTTGTAGTCAGAAACACTCTAAGCCTGGCCGCCTTCTTTCTCCCCCATTTTAGTGTAAATTGGTGCAGTGGCGCTCTCAAGAGGCACAGTGATAACTTTTTGTTTAAAAAAAAATTAAAATGGCTGGGCTCGGTGGCTCAGTTTGTAATGCCTGCACTTTGGGAGGTCGAGGCGAGTGGATTGCCTGAGCCTGCAGGTTCAAGACCAGCCCAGGCAACTTGGCAAGACCTTGTCTCTACAATAAATCAAAAATTAGCCAGGTGTGGCAGTGCACAGCTGTAGTTCCCGCTACTTGGAAGGCTGAGGCTCAAGGATCGCCTGAGCCCAGCATGTTGATGCTGGGGTGGCCGTAAGAGCGTGCCACTATACTCCAGCCTGGGCAATGCAGTGAGACTCCCAACTCAAAAACCTAAAATAAGCTTGAATTTTAAAATAAAATGCAAACTTTAGCTCAAGAATAGAAAAATAAATGGTATTGTGTCAAGAAGATAACTATACTTCTAGTCTTTTTTGAAACTTTATTCCTTTCTTTTTTGAACTTTGTTTTGAACTACTTGTACATCTTATACCTTTTATTACTGACAACAATAAGTATCATCTATTGGACACCTCCTATGTGCCTGCCACTTTAAATATACCATCTCTGGCCAGGCACGGTGGCTCACGCCTATAATCCTAGCACTTTGGGAGGTCAAAGCAGGATTGCTTGAGTCTAGGACTTTATGACCAGCTGGGGAACATAGTGAGACCCCATCTCTACCAAAAAAAAAAAAAGTTAGCCAGTAGTATGTACTTGTAGTCCCAGCTACTTGGGAGGCTGGAGCAGGAGGAGGATCACTTGAGCCCAGGTATTTGAGCTATGGCACCACTGCACTCCAACCTGGGTGACAGATCAAGACCCTGTCTCAAAAACAAACAAGCAAAGCACCACCAACAGCCAGAAACAAACACACCATCTCTAATGCTTGTTCACACCCAGTTCTATGTACATATTGGAAAAACCTAAGAAATCTTCAACAATATGAGTACATCCTAAAATCTCTTGGGTATCAATATCTTAACACCCCACTGCCAAAAACCTGAAGACAGAATTTAGATAATTCAAAATTAACCAAGTTGTCAGAAACTTTTGGGTGGGTGGGAGACTCGTTGGATCTTAGCAGATGTGGGAGTTTGTGAACTGGGAGAGCAGAGACATGCTGGGGCCAGGGTGGGCAAACCCCCCTCCCAGTATCAGTGTGATGGAACGATGCTGGCTCCTGCCCTGGGAGAGGGAAGCTTATTTCTCAGAGATGCCTTTGCCCACCCATCAGTGCTTGATGTTTCATAAAACCTTTTCCCCTGGTGCTTGGGAGGGAGGGAGGCCAGTCTGCTTGCTCTGCACAATTTTTTCTTGTCCTAGATCACAGCGAGAGCAGTGAAGTAAGCCAGTCAGAGGGAGAGCCCTGGCCCGACATTGAGAGTTTTGGCAAAATGCCTTTTGACGTCGGTGTACATGACCCCAAGTACAGTTTGATGAGCCTGGTGTATACGGAGAAGCTGGCGGGAGTCAAACAAGGTCAGTGAGATCCGAGCCAGGCTTACCTTCTCTGGAGGTCAAGGGGAACCTCAATCGGGGCAGGGGCCTGAGGCAGTTAAATCTTTGAAAGCAACTGAGGTCTCCTGTTTTTCTCTTCTCTCTCTTATACGCATGCATACCATCTTTTAATTTTCATACCTGCCTCTCAGGGCATAGATTACGGAATCCTTGGGAAAGTTATTTGGGGAAGTAGGAGACATTTCTTCCCAGGCCTAGGGAAGACATGTATGTCATGGGATGGTTTTTTGCTACTTTCTACACAGAAGTAATAAAGGAATCCAAAATTGAAGAGCCCAGGAAACGAGAAACCGTGTCCATAATGCTGACCAAGTACGCAGCCTACAACACCTTTCACCATTGTGAGCAGTGCCATCAGTACATGGACTTCACCTCCGCCTCCCAGGTGCAACTCCCACCTCCGCCCTTGCCTTGGACCTCTGTCACCCAATACAGATTTTCTGTGTAGGTGTTGGGAGTGCAGGGGTGAAAAATAAGTCTCCTAGTTTCAGGCCCCGGGTAAAAGATATCTTACTTATGTGAAGGAGCCACTCATTGGTGAGAAAAACACATGAAGCAGTAATGAAATGAACTTGGGGATTCTGGGAGGGAGAGGGAGCCGTCTAGTTTTACTATTCTAAATTACTTCATCAAAATGGTTACATGCATCATGTTTAGAGTAGCTGTTTATCTGTGGTCCATGCATTATGATACATTTGGCAAAAGGGTCTTTCCCACCGCTGTAGATCACTGACTTACATGGCACCGATCTAAAATTCCACAGGGAGTGCCCTTTGAGCTGTACAAGTCTGTTGTTCTAATACAAGCATATCCTTTCTAGTCAAAGTTACCTCTTATATCCCATGTTTTCTGGTGTCATTAAACTTTTGGTGGGCTACTTTGAAGTTGGCTCATAATTTGTACCAACCCAGTCATGTTCTCACTCTTGTCTGAGTTGGTTTTGACAGTGAAGCCGATGCCTGTTTTATGCAGTGAGAACTGAGAAATAGGTTGGCGTCTTTAAGCCCAAAAGATGGGAACAGCAACAAACAACATTAATATCCACAGCCTGCTTATCCCCAGTTTGTATTTTTTTTTTTTAGTTGGAGTCTCACTCTTGCCCGGGCTAGAGTGCAGTGACACACTCATAGCCACCGTCGCCTCGATTTGCTGGGCTCATGCGATCCTTCCCCCTCAGCCTTCCAAGTAGCTGGAACTACAGACGTGTGCTACCATGCCTGGCTAATTTTTTCATTTTTTATTAGAGACGAGGTCTCACCAAGTTGCCAGGCTGGTCTCGAACCCCAGGGCTTAGGCAATCCTCTGGCCTCTGCCTCCCAAAGTGCTGGGATTACAGGCACAAGCCGAGTGTCCAGCCAGCAGATCATAGGTTTCTAGAAAATCTCTTTATTAAAAACCCTCACCAGCTACAGTGGCTCACACCTATAACCCTAGAGCTTTGGGAGAGACCTACAAAAGAGGATCAATGGACAGAAGCTGAAACCAGTCTGGAGAGCATTAGGGAGGCCCCATCCCTACAAAAAAAAAATTTTTTTAATTGGCTGGGTGTAGTCTGTATGTCCTGCCTATAGTCCTAGTTACTCAGATGGCTGAGGTGGGAGGATCGCTTGAGCCCAGGAGTTTGAGGTTGCAGTGAGCTATGATTGTGCTACTGCACTCCAGCCTGGGCAAGAGTAAGACCCTGACTTTTTTTTTTTTAGTTGGAGTCTCACTCTGTCGCCCAGACTGGAGTGCAGTGGCCGCTCCCGGCCACCGCAACCTCAACCTGCTGGGTTCCGG